AGCAGAAGGTGTCTGTTTCAATAAAGAAAGGAAAACGGAATATCGAGTGTGGGAGAGGGCGGGACGCGGACATAAATTTGCGAGTGTACCTAATTGAAAGGGGCGAAAGAGGAACGGAGGCAAGCACTGACAAGGCGGAAGAAAATGAACGAAGAGAAAACGACGTTACTGAAAAAGGAAGGAGAAAAGAAGCAGAAACCGGAGACGGAAGGAGAACGATTCAGGATATGTTAAACGGCTGGAAAATAGCCGGTTGGCATTCTCCAAATAAACGATGCCGGAAACGAAAAGAGCATACTCTTGCCTTCCGAGACATTCTTCCCGTCCGACAAACTTACGGTTCTCGCGGACCCTCGAGAATCTACGGAAAATATACCCCAACATTTGTATTGACCTATATGGTATTGACCACTTATGCAACATTTCATTTTTTACTTTTAATTTTTGATTCTGAATTTTACCTCCTCATTCTTAATTTTATCTTTCAATGCTTAATTTTCAATTTTGAGTTTTCAATTTTAACTATTAGTTTTCAATTCTTAATTTTAAAATTACAATTTTCAAGTTTATTTTTAAATTCTTAATTTTAACTTGAAATTTTTAATTTTTAATTTTTAATTTATAGCTTTCAATTTTAGTTTTAAATTCTTAATTTTATCTTTCAATTTTTATTTTTAAATTTACAATTTTCAAGTTTATTTTCAAGTTCTTAATTTTAACTTTAAATTTTTAATGTTTAATTTACAGTTTTCAATTTTTAATTTTCAGTTTTCAATTTTAGTTTTAAATTTTTAATTTTATCTTTCAACTTTCAGTTTTAAATTTACAGTTTTCAATTTTCAATTTTAGCTTTATATCTGAATTTTAACTATCAATATTTAATTTTAAATTAACAGTTTTCAATTTTAACTTTCTGTTTTTAATTTTAATTTTGAAATTCTCTAAATTTGAGCCTAAAAATTACAAAATTTGAAAATCTGTAAATCTAAAAATTTGATCAATCAGTAATTTAACTATTTTAGCATTCTCGAATGACGTATGTGTATCGTAAAGAGGCTTACGTTGCACCCGAGTGTACGTAATATAGAACATGTTCCATATCCGCAACATCCATGTTTTGAGTGCCCGTTCGTGTTAATACCATGTAGTACTACTATGTGGTATATGCTGTATTTTCACTATCATAAATACATTACACTATTGTACTACAGTATGTTACCTAGTATTGTATAAACATTACTATTGTACATATGTATAGCACATGGAAGTTGAATCAGATTGGTTTGTGTTCTGAATTCATTATCCTGTAGAACATTACTCAAAGAAAGCTTTGATAGAATCAACGAGGGAAAGAAAAATGTAAAGAAAGTAATGGAAAATAAAGTTTCAATAGGTACGAAGACTTTGGAACATTAAGAATCATCTGAAAATGATCCTTGAAAAATGGGTTCAATATTCATTGCTTTCATTGGGATCATAAAGAATATGACGCACCAGGTGCGTCATTTGTCCAACGTTTAGAAGACTAATATAACATATCATTACATTTGTCAAAAAATACATGATCTGTGTTTATTAGTCTTCTTTATGGAAAAAGATGCTTTTCATCGTATAAATAAAATATTTTGTATTTTATTTACAATTTTCCCTAATATTTTATATTAGCTATCATTTTTTTCAATTCATCGTATTTGCCTTTTTTTACAGTAACTTTATGTGCTTAAGCTTTCACTTATCCATTAGAAGATTTAACTATTAAATTTGTCTTTCAAAACTTTGTATACACTGAAACATGTTTGAATCTATGTGTTTGCAAAGCATCATGCATTAGTACATCGAAATCGTTAACTAGTGGCGCTTCATTGGTTTCCCATTAGAAATGGCATACAAAATCACTAACAGTAATTTATTACAGTGATCACAAAATCACGATCGAAATTATACTTCATTCACGACCGTGATTCGAACGATGGCGTTTTAGGAGCGGTTCACGTGAACTGTGATCGCTAGTGCTCCTCTGACTACCCTTAGCGAAAATTGAAGAATGTCAATTCAATTTTTACCATTATTCATACTAAGTTTTTATACATTTATAAGATATTCTGTATATGTTTATATTATATATCACTTTAAAAGACAATAAGAAATAAATTGCAATTTAAAACCAGAAGCAGGGTATTTTTGCGCATACGCTACTTTGGTGAAGAATTTTCTGTACATTCCTGAAACGAAGTTTAAAGAAACTAAAAATTAAACTTGTACTTACAATTTATTATTTTTAGTTTTTCCTTTCTCCCAATAAGAAAATTATACTAACGTTGCTTTTAAACCAAATTATAATATAATAAGGTAAAGTGGGGTAAGTGCAGACTGGTTTTTGTAAAGTTGGTACTTAAACGTAAATATTTTCAGCCTGCTATGTAAATACTTAGCGCTATCGCTATCGTACGCTTTGCACAATTACTACTATTTAATTAATATTAACTAGGACCTCAATTTTCGTTGTACATTTTGATTTTTATAGGAAATTGTTTAAAATGCCAACTATTCCGCACTCTCCCTGAAAATGGGGTAAGAGCGTAACTTGAAGTTAAATACTTTGAAACTTTATTTCATGTGCAATGGGGCAAGAGCAGAATTATTAACAAATCTGCTATAAAATTCTTTTTACTGCATTATGCAAGTACTCTATACTGCAAACAAGTACTCTTATCTATACTGCAAACAAGTTAACAAATCTGCTATAAAATTCTTTTTACTGCATTATGCAAGTACTCTATACTGCAAACAAGTACTCTTAGCTGAAATATAAAAAAGGGGATATAGTGAAACAAAACAAGGAAACAAACATACTAAATGGAGAAATTTTGCTCATATTGTATTAAAAATAGTTTGTATACGCACTTGCCCCGTTTACGAACTTACCCCACTTCACTTTATAATTGTCTTTTGTTAGTAACAAAATATTTTACTTGATCACTAATGTTTATTTCCTCAAACATGTTTTATATTAGACATTATTTGATATAAAAGTTACCGTATAATTTTTTTACATTTCATTATTTTAGAAATTAAATCATTTTATACTTTGCAAATCAGAAGAATCGAACTGCGTAATACATGAATATGATTCATTTCCTAAACAAGTTTCGTTAAAATTCATATGGCGTAACAGATGCATCGAGTCAGCCGAGTTTATTTGACTTCAGCATCCGGAATTTTCTTAGTAAGCTAACATTCTCAAAGCTCATAATTCTTTTAAATCATTTGTATGACGAATGTTTCTTTTTATATATGAACACACGGTAACTGCGGAGTTGGCCTAGAAAATGAAGGTTTGGATTATACTTGGCAGAAAAGCAAATAGCGGAGGTTATTTAAGTTGTAACTAATAAAACGGAAGTATGGAATCAAATATTTATTGCGAGTTGCAATTTATAGACCTAAACTGTTGAACTATGATTCAAGCAAAATTTATTAAAATACTTTTGAGTATTATTGTTTGAACATTTTGCATTTAGAGTTTTGAACAGTTGTTCAGTAGGGTTGTTCAAAAATTTGTTGCTTCAAAATTCCAAATTTTTAAACATAGAAATTTGAAGACTTGGTGGTGTTCAAAATTTGAAAATTTGAAAATTGCAGAATTAAGTGCTGTAGTTTTTTCCTTCCAATTTCTAACCGTTTCAATTTAAAGATATTTAAGTTGAAAAATTAATGAATTCATAAATTAAAGAATGAAATATTTAAAATTTCTATATTTTTATATTTTTCTTTAAATTTCTAACTTTTTAAATTTGAAGATTTTTAAATTGAAAAATTTAAGAACTTAGAAATTGAAGGACCAAGTACCTAAAATGTTTATATTTCTATTTTCTTCAAATTCCTAACTTTCTTTTGTAAACTTGCGATTGTGATCTTCTCGATTTTTTTCTATGGGGTTACTTCAAAGACAAACTGCATTCTCGTTCATTAGTTTCTATTACAGCAGTATAACAATAGTGTTATAGCTATGGGGTTACCATGTTCTCTCGATCTCAACTCTTTCAATTTCTTTCTAGCAAGGTTACCTTAAAGACAATTGCACTCTCGTTCATTAGTTTCTGTGGAAGACACAGAAGAACGAATTAAACATTCTTCAAACATAAACGGCGACCACATTAATTTCGTTTCGAAAAACGTAAAGAAACGCTATATGAAATGTTTACAACATGCAGACAGAACGTTTAAACATCCTCACTAATGAAATAAGTAGCCTATCAAAAATGTGAGATATCACACGAAATATTGGTTTCTTAAATTTTGTACCTTAACACGTTTTACGCAAAATGTTTCGAGAAGTTAATACCAGTAAAAAAACATGCAATTGTATTTAAAAATAAATGCATTTGCACTTTATGAGTTTATCGTTGCGTTCAGGAGAAAATGAGGTCATAGAAAAATAGACATTTGTATACCATTCAACTTTTTTGTCAACAGTTTTTTCCTATCTCTTAAGAAGTTCCAAATGCATGACGCATTCAGTTTATATGTTCTATACACCGGTACTAACTGTACACAAAAGTTTGACTATGCAACATCAGGGAATTGAAGAACGGGAATAGCCTATCCAGTTCTGAGGACATCTATGACCTCGTTATATGATGGAAGAGCGTATCAAGTGTGAAACCGAATTTACACCTTTTCATTTTCGATGAGCGAGTGATTCATTCACGACAAATGCGAAAGATGAAAGTCGAAGTATTTATATCAGTTCGCTGTTGAAATTCGCGGTTCATTCTAAAAAATTCTTATTCGTTGAATATAACTGTGTTTATAATAACATTTATGCACTTAACTCGTAATAGGTTGAATTTGTATTAGGTTATTAACCTGTACTGAGTTATATTAGAATTAAGTTATTAATTCGTACCAAATGATATTACCATTAAACTATTAGCTTATACCAAGTTAAATTGGCATTCATCAGTGCAATAATCAAAGACATCCTTACTTTGTTACAGGTAAAAAAAAGTTTCCTTCGGACCCATCTTGCTGTCCAGCATGTGGAGTCACCGTAAGGCCACAGGAATTGGAGCAACATTTCGCTCAAGAACTCGATCGACTTTACAAAATATCCTCGGCATCTTCGCGAGCACGAGCATCCCGATCGAGTTTGCCTCCAGGACATCCCCAGGATCATCCCCATGGACCTATGCTGCACGCTCCATCGGCAGCTGATGGTACGCCTCATGGACGATGGGAGACTTACAAAAGGATTAAAGCTAATCGACAGGTAAACAAATTCATGAATTTTAGAATTTGAGAATTATGTAATTTTAGAATTTTGAAGTTTTAGATTTTTAGACTATTAGACTTTTAGACTTTTACACTTTTAGACTTGTAGACATTTAGAGTTTTGGGCTTTTAGAGTTTTAGAGTTTTTAAGTTTTAGTAATTTAGAGGTTTAGAGATTTATAATTTCAGAATTTTGAAAGTTTAGAATTTTATAAATTTTTAGAAAAACTGGAAAATTAATCATTTGGATATTTAAAACTTTGAAAATCAAAAAATTAAAAAACTGGAATTTTGAAAATTTGATAGTTTTGAAAATTCAGCAATTCCGAGATATAGAAACTTAGAGGTTTCTGAAATTTAACAATTTAACAATTTTGCCAATTTAATATTATTGAAACTTGCCAGTTTAGGAGTATGAAAGTTTTATCTCCTATAAACTAGAAAATTTGGAAAAATTGAAACACTCCAAAATTTGAGCTATTTGATCACTTTAATGCGTTTGCAAATATTAAAACCATACCTAAATCTCCATCAATTGTTGTATATACAGTAAGCCATACAAAGTGATTAAAGTTAACCTAAATTGAAGTACAAAAGAATACAACTTCATATCCGTCGTCTCTTTCTCCCTTTACACAGGCTAGAATTCGTGTAAAGAATCGAAAAAGAAAAGCGGACGAGCCTTCTTGTCCGGTTTGTAGCGAGAGATTATCTGGTACCCCAGAGGAGTTGAATCAGCACGTCGAAAGGTGTCTGAAGAAACATAATAATGGCAATCCTGCGAACCAAAACAATTTGGACGAAGAAGAAGTGGATGTGGAAGGCGACGCTGAAACTTTTGAGGAATATGAGTGGGCTGGACAAAGAAGAGTACGAGCAACCTCAATGCTTGTTGGCGGATTTTCTGGTGAGTTTCTCTTATTCTTCTTTCCACTATATCTATAGTTACAAGTAAATCTGGATTCCCTAGAAAAATTCAGAAGTTTCAAAATTTGGGAATATGAGAACACAGCAATTTTGAAAACTTAGAAATTTCAGAATTTGAAAAATTTGGAAATCTAGAAATGTTGAAATTGAGCTATTTGCAGTTTTCAAAAGTTGAGAACTTACTTGGAATTGTAGGACTTGGAATTTTTACAAATCTGTAAATTTCAGAATTTTGTAAATTGTGGAATCTAGGAGTTGAAAATTTGGTAATTGAAATTTTGAAAATTTACAACTTGTATTAACCCTTGACTAACACTACTCGTTTGCGAAAAGTAACCGAGTGATAACGCGTTTCGAACCGTTTAAAGCCGTAGGTTTGGCAACCTCGAGCAATCGTTCTTCCGCTGGCGGAAATGGCGGATCGAATCAACAGGAGGACGAGGACGTGGATCTGGTGGTTGATGGTGACGACGTTGCCGAATTTGGACCGGCACAATATTCCGAGGCCGACGTGATCACGCCCCGTATGGAGGGCACGCCGAGAGAGCAAAAAGAAAGAGACGCTCTTCGAGAAGCCGTCATTTCCCCGAATGCGCCAAATACACCACATACGCCACATACGCCACACGCGTCACATACACCCGATCAAATCGGGCAAAGTTTAGTCGAGGTGAAGCCTGAACCGGGAACCACCACTTCCCTGGGTCAGAACGAGCAGGAAGAAGTCTCATCTTCGCCCAAAAGGGACGGTGACACGCCGGTGATCGAAGCCCTCAAGGGGCGAATTCGGGAACTGGAGGCTGAAATGCGCAGCCAACCATTCAAGTGTCTTATCTGCATGGTGAGTTAACGTTAATTATACTACAGTTAATATGCTACGCTGCATTAACCCTTTGCATTCGAAGATATTTTTGCAAGATATCAACCTTAATTTTTAGTTAAAAAATTTGCTGACATCTTTTAAATTTCTTTATTAATAATTACCAGTCTTGTTCTGCTCCGCTATCTTATACATCATATGTATAATACTATAGGTTTATAATATTTACTATAAACTAGTTAAATAATATTTATTATAAAGTGAATGGTGAATATGAGTCACCTTTCGAGTGCAAAGAGTTGATGTATCCTCATGTTTTTAATAATTTTTTGGTAAGAAGGTTAATCCCTCAACCCAGTTTTGATCATTGCCTGACCCCTTGCCATATTTTGATGAGCTTCACTTGAATTCGCAGTTCAAATGCCATAAACCTGACTCGAATTTTCTAGTATTCTTCAATTTGAAGTTTGAACAAAGAGATTTATTTATGTTCTTAGGAGCAATATAAAAAGCCGGTGACTTCTGTCTGCTGCTGGCATGTACATTGTGAGCAGTGCTGGTTACACACACTGGTAAGTTATTAATTAAGTAATTTCTATAATACACTTCTTTTGCACATCATTTTCAGATAGGCATTCTAAACTATTCTTAAGTAGTACATGTCTATCATGGGATCATATATAATTTGTGTAGCATTTAATTTTTAATAATAGTATTACCATCGTTTAAAGAAAATTCTAACACTACAGATTTGATAAATTTATTCTCTGACAGATAAATTTAAAAATAAGCAATTTTGAATGAATTTTATTTTATCAATAGGGACTTTTAACACAGAAATATATAAACTTACTAAAAATTATTTAAAAATAAATATGGACCAAGTAATAGAAAAGAAAATCATTGGCTCACATTGGATCATAAAACAAACAATTAAAAAAAGAAACATTGCCAGTTAGAAATACAAAAGCAAATGGAGAATTTAGTAACACTATTAGAAAATTAAATGGCATGTTTCTAACAAACGATTTATTGTTACGCATTTAAAATTTCGTTTCTATTCACTCCAGTTGACGGTACAACAAGAAACATTTCGAAAAATTGTTGTTGTGCCATTTCAGGGTGCGAAAAAGCTGTGCCCACAGTGCAACATGATAACGTCACCTTCAGACTTGCGACGTATCTACATGTGAATGGAATCGTGTGCCAAACAAGAGGTCATCGATTGCTCGGAATAACCGGTGAAGAAATCGGTATTTGTAAAATCCTTCTAGGTGTTCGAGCCGTGTAAATATCTGTACATACTTGTGCGTCCCGCTAAACTGAACAAAAAACTAAACTCCTTTAGATTCACCATGTACCGTTACGCACTGTAGCGTTAGTAGATTAAACCGTGAAAGGTGCGCGTGAATTCGTATCCCGATCGAACGGATCACCTAAATAAATTAGACTATGTTAATGGAAATAATTTGAGCTGTGGATAAACTTATGAAAAATACTCATACCTGATAACCTTGACCTTAACATATGTTGTCAGTATGGTTCTGTGACCTTCGCAAAGATTTAAACCTCCGATCACTGGTTATTAAAAAATTATTAATCAAAGAAGATTGAGAAACGTACCGTAATTTTCCAGGAATCTAAGTCGTAGGAAGTGTGGTTATGTTTGTTATTTATTTTAATATTCAAATTTATGTATAGGTTGAGAAGTTTCAAAAATGTAACCTAACTTTTTCTATACGTCAGATATCAACTGCAGTAGTTCAAACTAGATTATATCATCCGGACATTGCAGGTTAATTTCGTTAACGTTAGTTTGTATTGGGTTTTCTAAAAAAAGGAAATCGATTAGTTCAATTTCTTATACTACTTTATGAACACAAATTCGGTTTGTTTGTATCATAACTTTATTAGACGAAACTTATTTGTTTTAAGCAAATAAAACTTTAAGATTGATAGAAGGGAAGTGGTAGAAATTCGATGGTACTAAATCGGTTAGTATCGGAAGCATTCGCCTCGAGTCGGCTGAATGGCGTGGTGGACGACAGAAGTATTAGTACGGATCGTAAACATTCTTTTTAACCGTATTAAAAGCAAATTGAAGAGAATATTCTTCTAAAAGTGAATCAATTGAGTGAAATCGTTAATTTTTGCATAGTGGTTATGCATATCGTAAGAAAAACGGAAATTAAGAACAGTTGAAGAAAGAAAATGTAAGATTATTTCATACGTACGCATAAATAGAATTAGTGTACAAAGTTTTTAATATATATTCTTTTCTTGAAAATAGAAGTTTTTCAAATCTTCTGTCTTCATTTTTATTTAATCTACTCAGGTATACATTGTATGTATCATTTTCATAATAACCTCTATTGTCCTTTTCGATTGTATTTTGACATTTCGATCATATGCGTCTATGATTTAGGCGGTAAAACGTATCACGTGACTATCCGAATAGGACCGACAAGAAACGAAGTTAGTCGATTCACTGTTTTCGTACTTCGTACGGAAAGATTTAGATTTATAAGAAAATTTCGGCACAGTTTTCATTCCTTTTCTGTTAATAATCTTTTTAAATATAATCGGTAGTTTAATTCTCTTGAACGGTACTCAGAAATGTGACTTCGACAACATATATTAAGATCATTATATGTAGACCTTTTCAAGTTTACGTTCATAATAAAATTGATGAAAGTACATTTCTTAAAAAAATTTGATTTGTTACATTTTTCAGTTGTATGAGACACCTGAAAAATATAGGAAATACATTTTTTTCTAAATGAACTTGCATCACTTTTATTATTAACAGCTCAATTGTTAATTTATTTCCTTCGTCTTTAGCAAACACTTGTGTTCTAGATTTATATTTAAACGAATTATATAAATTTATTTTATAAATTAAAACACGAAGTAGGTTTATCGTACCTTGTTACGGTTTTAATGCACTCATCCCTTTCGCGACCGTGGACGAAATATTTTGCTCTCTTTTCAACGAAATCGTCGAGATATGACGATTAAATTTTTGCAGTGTTATAAACGAGATATATCGCATGTATTTTATTGTCTCATCAGAAAACTTAGAATGCAAAATCCATTTGCGGGACATTTCGTCGGATAAAACTTTCGTAGATAAAAAGCATCATGAACGCAAGCTATCACATCTATTTCGTCGTATAAACTAGTGACGAACGGATTTATTCTATTCGGACGCAAATTGTTTAGTTTGAAATTTAAGATTGAAGGTAAGTGAGAATTTCAAAGTTTGAAATGTTTCAGAAGGATTTCGAGATTTGAAGATTTCGGAATTCACAGATTTGGAAATTCAAAACTTAAAAATAGGAATTTTTAAATTTATAAATTTTAAGAATTAGGAATTGTTACATACATTTGAAAAATTTAGGAATTTGAATATTTTAGGTTTTGGTAATTTAAAGATATGAAAATTTGAGGATTTGGAAATTTAAATAATCATCAACAATTTGTAATTAAAAAGTTTGGAAATGTTGAAATTTAAGAATTTGAAAATTTAAAAAAAAATTTACAAATTACGTAATTTGGGATTTTTGAAATTTGCAAATTTAAAATTTAAAGAATTTTAAGATTCAAAAATATGGATTTAGTAATTTAGGTATTTGATTTGCAAATTTATAAATTTACAAATGTGAGAGTTCACAAATTTCAATATTAAAAATTTGTACATTTAAAAAATTGTCAACTTACAAATTATTTAAAAATTTTCAGGCAAACAAATTTATGAACATTTGAAATTTTTAGTCAATTTTGAAAGTTTGAGAAAATTTTAATTTGAGTTTGGAAATCACTCTCAAATGAGGATTTGCATAACTACAAATTACAAAATTTGAAACTATAAAAATTTTCAAATTAACACATTCAAAACTTGAAACTATGAAAATTTTCAAATTAGGACTTTCAAAATTTGAAACTGTGAAAATTTTAAAATTAGGACTTCCAAAATTTGAAACTAATAATTTTCAAATATGGACCTTAAAAATTTGAAAATTGAGTGTCCAATATCTGCTCGTGCATGTTCCATGCCTTCCCAGCTCCGTCACTGACATAAACGACCTGATAGCCGCAAGATATTTCGTTCGAGGTCGCAAAAGGGGTTTCGCAGGATAAGTTAACGTTTTCGATTTTCAGCGAAAGGAAACATTAACTGAAATTCTACGGGATTGGATCGAATCTGATTGGAATCGAGAACTAACTCGCGCGTACCTGAATTTCTAGGTGTTACATACTTCGAAGGATTAGTGTCTACCTTAAATTCGCCGGATCTACTGTTTCCCCCTTAATCCTCTTCTCCGGAAGAGACTGTATCTGTGTCTACGATTCACTGCGTTCGATTCACCAGCAAAGGTATCAGACATTATACGCGTGTGCCGAATTTAACTGCACTGTGGCCAATAAAGAATGGTGGAACAATTTGGATATATGGGGACTTAGATACTTAGGGATTTGCAAATTTGGGAATGTGAAAAGCGGATTTGAAAATTTGAGAATATATAAATTTGGAAATCGGAAAACGGAACTTTCGAAATGTAAAATATTGGTTTTGGGATATTAAACATATGAAATATGAAAATTCGAAAGTATAGAACTTTTGAAATAAGAAATGCCAAAATTATAGTCATTTTTTCAAAACAGAATTTGAATGTACTAAAAAGAAGTCTTGAAATTAAGAAATTAGAAAATATAGAAATTTTGAAATTTGAAAATTTGGAGATTTAAGCATTTGAAGAATTGGACAAATTGTGGATTTAAACACTTGAACATTGCAGGAACTCGAAATTTGAAAATATAAAAATTTGAAGATCTGAAAATTTAACAACTTATAAATTTAGAAATATGAGTATTTGGATATTTCGGCAATTTTAATTTTCGAAATACAGATTTGGGAATTTCTTAATCTAAATTAAAAAATTTAAGAATTTTGACATTAAAAAATTTAAGAATGTGGTAATAGAGAAATTTTTTAATTCTAAGATTTTTGAAATTTGAGTTATTAGGGATTTGACAATATGACAAAATTGGACAATTTGATATTTTGATAATTTACAAATTTGACAACTTGAAATTTTGAAAATTTTGTAATCCTCGGACTATTCACTTGCAGATTTGAAAATTTAGAAATTTGAAAATGGGAAAATTCGTAATCTTAGAAATTTGAAAAGTGCTCATTTGCAAATTTGAAAATTTAAAATTCTGAAAATTTGAAAATTTCAAAATTCAGTCATTTGGAAATTATTTTTTTTCAAACCTAAATGTCTTGAAGCCTAATGATTTAGTAATTTGGAAACTGAAAAATTTTTAATCTTGGAAATTTAGTGATTTGCAAACTTGAGAACTTGTGGATTTGGATATTTCTTAATTTGGTGGTTTTCGGATTTGGATATTTGATAATTTGGAGATTTGAAAGTTTAGAAATTTAGAAACTTCAAAATTTGGAATTTTAGGAATATAAAAATGTTGAAATTTCAGAATTTTGAAATTTTTTATTTTTGAAATCTAACAAGACTTTAAACATATATGTATACACGTTATAATACGTTTGAAACATATAATTTAAAAATTGAAATTTTGAAAATGTAAGAATTTACTAATTTAGAAATTTCAAAATTTAGGAATTTTTTAATTAAAAGATCTCCAAATTTAGAAATTTAGAAATTTTTGACTAAGAATTTGGAAGTTTTAGAATTTTTAAAACTGTAAATTTGGAAATGTAGAAAATTTGGGAGATTTGTGAGTTTTGATATTTAAAGATTTGAAAATTTTGAACTGCATGAATGTAAGGATTAACAAATTTGGGGATTTAGAGTTTAAGAAATTTACGAATTTAAAGATTCAAAAATATGTGAATATAAAGTCTTGAAAAGTAAAAATTCGAGAATTTGCAAGATTAATTAACAAATTTGTAAATTTGTGTAATGTTTTCAAAATGTGCTTCTTTGATAATTTTTTAATTTAAGTGTTTTTAAAAATAAAAGACTGTACAAATCAAGACTTAGAAGCTTCAAAATACGGATTTACAAGTTTAAAAATTAAAAAAGTTAGGAAATATATATATTTAATAATTTTGCAATCTGGAATTCAGTCAAAAATTCTAACTCTTAAATCTTAAACTTCTGAAATTCTAACTTTAAAAGCTGTATAAATACCGCATTATTTCGAGAAATACTTAAAAAATGCAACGCATTTCTAACTTAACCTAACCTAACTTATCCGCCATTCTTTTGCGAACACGTTGTACGATCGAGCGCGTTAACATTTCCATTTAAAGTTCCCTGCAGTAAGAATCAAATGCAAATGAACTTCGAAAAAAGGTGAAACTGTAAATCTCTCATCAGAATTTGTTCAGTTCCGAATTGTCATCCAAAAAAACAAATATACGTTTGATTTTCAACGATAAGTATTATGCACATAGTATTTCTATACTTTTAGCAGTTCATTAGATTAGCGTGACAAGGCGACATTAATTCCCGAAAGAAAACCATTTTAATGTACAAACATGTAACTTTCATTTTATTCTAACGATTCATCTGAAAGATAGGCTTAATTCTGTTTTTGGATTTTGGAAAATGTGTAATGTAATTGATGAAAGGTACAGTAGAAAAGCAATGTGTCTGCGAACTGTGTACAATATTTCGAAACGAATTACGGAAATCCATGTCCAATGAATGTTATTTATTTCGATCGGTGATGATAGCTAAAAATGGAAAGAAATAGAAATCTCTTAAAAAGACTTGTTGCTTATTTGACGAATCAATTCGTTAACGCCTTCTACCTTCTTTAACGACAGCGTAACGGAGAACCTGATTTGCGGAGAAGATGGCTGAAAAACGGTTAGGTGAATCGAGTCGCAAGACAAGATTCAAATTTTCGAATTCTAGATCTTGTAGTCATCGTCCTGTATCGTGTGTGGAATACTCTATCGAATCTTCAAGGGAAAAGTACGCTCGATCTTTTCTGTCGTAGAAACTCTTCTTACAGTTCTGGAACAATCTTTATCTTCTGCATTCGTGAAATGTTTAGTTTATTTTTCTTTTTACGGCGCAGATGGTGCTTGAGTTTCATTGACTCATTTTGCCAAAACGCTTTAAAAGTGGTTCTATCGAGAAGTGATCAATTATGAGAAGTGTTCAATTGTGCAAGAAGCGATCAATTTATACTGAAAATACTGAATAAGCTTTAGTTATTTTCATCAAAGATTAAATTTTAAGTGGGGTAATTTATGCAAAACTCAACACAGAGGGCGCCACTAGTACATATGTATTAACCCTTTGCACTCGGAAAGTTTATTTTGTCGTTCAAAATGTCCCCTCAGAGGGGACAGCCGAGTGCAAAGGGTTAACCTAATATATCATTATAATAGAAATTATATTTATTTATATTTCTGTTTCACTATTTTTTAATAGTTAATAGTGAAATTAAAATAATACGAAATGAGAATTATTTTAGAATAGGGAATAAATATAGAGGTAATATGAGAAAATTGTTGCTATTGTGCATGTATGATAAAAGCATAGGTTTTACATAATCTTGTTGTTTTTTATTACTTAAAACATGATTATTATAAATAAGATAAAATTAAATGTTTAATTTACAGAATCAACAAGGAAGTATTAGAAGTGATCATTAACCAGTTAA